AACAAACATTTCACTGCGTGATTTTTGGGCGTGAATGTGCACTCTAATCTGAAAAGCAAGCAATTGAAGTAAGCGCCAATCAAAGCTTATTCGTCTTCTTTCTGCGCATATGTAGGCGAAAAGACGGTGTTTTGTCATTTGGGTCTCATTACCATACACTTTGCCGATTTCTGGGTTAATGTTGCATTAACACCAAAGAACCACAACTTGAAATAAGCGACATCCAAGATTTCTTGTTTCGATTGTAGCTGGAACGCAAAAACAACCTGTTTTACTCTGTTTTAGCTTACTACACTTTGCTTTGCTATTTGTTGTGTGACATGAACACCGAATGAAAAATCCCAGCTTCTTCGTCTTGTTTTCTATTGAGATGGAACCAAAACACTATGCTTAATTTGGGCTGATAACAAACATTTCACTGCGTGATTTTTGGGGAATGTGCATTCTAATCCGAAAAGCAACAATTGGAAGTAAGCGCAATCAAAGCTTTATTCGGTCTTCTTTCTGCGCACATGGTAGCGAAAAGACGGTGTTTTGTCATTTTGGGTCTCATTACATACACTTTGCCGATTTCTGGGTTAATGTTGGCATTAACACCAAAGAACACAACTTTGAAAATAAGCGACATCCAAGATTCTTGTTTCGATGTTAGCTGGAACGCAAAACAACCTGTTTTGCTCTGTTTTAGCCTTTACTACACTTTGCTTTGCTATTTGTTGGTGAATGAACACCGAATGACAAATCCCAGCTTTTCGTCTTTTTTCTGTTGAGATGGATCCAAAACACGTTGCTTAATTTGGGCTGATAACAAACATTTCACTGCGTGTTTTGGGTGAATGTGCACTCTAATCTGAAAAGCAGCAATTGCAAATAAGCGCCCAACCTGCTTATTCATCTTCTTTCTGCGCATATGGTAGCGAAAAGACGGTGTTTTTCTTTGGTCTCATTACATACACTTGCGATTTCTGGGTTAATGTTGCACTAACACCAAAGAACACAACTGAAATAAGCGACATCCAAGATTCTTGTTTCGATGTAGCTGGAACGCAAACAACCTGTTTTGCTCTGTTTTAGTTACTACACTTTGCTTGGCTATTTGTTGGGAATGAACACCGATGAAAAAATCCCAGCTTATTCGTCTTGTTTCTATTGAGATGGAACCAAAACACCTATTGTCAGGGGCTCAGGAGCAGAGGGACAGGAGAGGGAGGAATTAGAGACCGAGGGGGAGGAATCCGAGGGAGAAGTTAGCGATGATAGCCGCCCGAGGTCTCTAAGTCTCTCCAGCGAATCGGAGGATTCACAGAAAGGGGCTCCCGTGGTCAGAGCTAGGGGGTTGCCAGAGGGAACACCCCAGGAAGGAGGGGCCAGAGGGGACTCAGAGAGCAGCAGTTGGAAATCGGGACCAGCTTCCCCACCGGAGAGCAGTAGGGGGAGGAGTCCCAGGCATCGGCATCAGGCAGCTTTCCGTCAGCGGAAGGACATGAGTCAGGGTTAGCCACGCCTGCATCAGAGAGCGAGGAAACGGTCAAAAGGAAGGTCGGGGCAGGCGCGCGCGCGCCAAGTTCAAATGTACAAGAGGGTGGCGCGATGAGCAGCCCGGATAGGGAGCCAGGTCCTAAAGCCCGGCGCAAGGAGACAGGAGGGTCCGGGGGGTCAGCGTCAGAAGAGTCCAGGAAGGAAGAGACCACGGGGGCAGAGGGACCCAGAGAAGAACAGTCAGGCGGAAAAGGTGGGACAGGGCTAGGATATTAAGTTGGTGTACAGGGGGCGGAGACTCAGACGGAGCTTCGCCGGTCTAGCCATAAGACGTAGAGTTGCACGCAGCAGCTTGAGAATGGAAACTGTAACTCAATAAAAGACTTTTACAAGTGACCGCTGGCTAGCGTGATCCTCTGTGAGCTAGGATCTGGAAGCAGCTCTGACAGTAAGCTCCGTCTCCCGTTGTGGGCATCTTCAGCCTCGCGGACAGAGGAAAAGGGGGTGCCCACGACTCAGCTCACGAACGGCAGTCAGGATGACGGCCGAACAGCAGATAGGAGAACTCAGAGAAGCAGTGACACGGCTGAATGCCGAAATACTTGCATCCAGGAAGAGAGAGGAGGACGCAGCTGCCGCCTACAGGGATCTCCAGGTCAGGTTGGAAGTGCTTACGAAGCAGGGGCAACTGACACCCAAACCGGAGGGGATTGGGTTGGGGCGAAGAACAGGCGGTCTAGTCTCTCACTTCGATGGGAATTTACAACTGTACCCCAACTTTAAGCAGATGTACAGTGTGCACTGCAACTGCTGGATAAAGACTTTAGAGATGAGCAAGAGAAGGTGGGATTTATCATGTCCCATTTGCATGGAGACGCTAAAGCATGGCTGCGCAATTTGTGGAGAGATAAGGATCCAGCGCTCCAAACCGCGGATGCCTTTATTAAAGCGATGGATGGCTGTTTTTTATCTAGCATTGACGTGGACCTTGCCCGGAGGGAGGTGCATGGGCTGAAGCAAGGGAGGGCCAGCGTAAGACAGTACCAAGCCCGCTTTTTTGCTTTAGTCAGTGCCTTGGAATGGGACAGAGATTCCGCTCCAGTCAGAGATCTCTTTTGGGAAGGCTTGAGCGGCCCAGTTAAAGACGAAATTGCCAGGGGGGAGAGACCCCGGACCACGCAGGAGGTCGTTCAGAGGGCGCTGGCGGTGGGAGTGCGGCTGGAGGAACGCCCATGGGGCAGGGACGAAGGACGTGGAGGGCGCGAACCAGCGAGAGGGTTTCCCTTCGTTCCCAGGGAAGCTGCGCGTGCGCAATCCACGCCTCCACCAGGAGGAGGAGCGGAACCTATGGAGGTGGGAGGTGCAAGGGCTCAGTCAGCAGCCAGAGCCCTAGCACCGGCAGCAGTGAAAGCGAAGCCTCCTAGAGGGAACAGGAAGTGTTACATATGTGAGGATCCACAGCATATGGCGAAAGAGTGTCCCCGGAGGCTCCACAAGCACACTGCAGCCTCAGCAATGGTAACTGCAGCAACGCAGCAAGCAGAACCACAGCAGGGAAACGACGGAGTCTGGCTGGAGGAAGAGGCACTGGGGCCCAGCCAGACGTGTCAGTGAAGCAGTCCCCAGAGATTTTACAGCCCATGGACCCCCTCCCGCCCAAACCAGTAGTGAGGCTCACCGCATCTCTCCAGCTGCCCAATGGAATCACCATGGACGTGCCAATCACCATTGACTCAGGAAGCAATGCGGACTTTATAGGGCAGGACTTTGTCGATCGGCACGCTATACAGTTGCTGCCTGCCACGCTGCCCCTGCAGGTTGTCACGGTGGATGGCAGGGAGCTCCTAGGGGGGCAAGTGGTGAAGCAGACGCCTCCAATGGTGATGCGACTTGGGAATCACAGGGAAGTCATCAGCTTCAACGTCACTCAGCTATCGGACACGCCCATTGTATTGGGCATGAGTTGGCTGGACAAGCACAGCCCGACGCTGGCTTGGTACCAGAGGCAGCTGACCTTCGGCTCTTCCTTTTGCGCTGAACACTGCATCATGCCCCGGCAGGAAGGAGAGGAAGAGGAGTCACAGCTGCAGCTAGGCACGCTACAAGCGGTCCCCCACAAGTACGCAGAATTTTTGGAGGTTTTCTGCGAGAAGGAGGCAGACAGGCTACCCCCCCACAGACCATATGACTGCAAAATTGACCTGCTGCCAGGGGCGGCGCTGCCCAAAGGGAAGCTGTATTCCATGTCTGAGGACGAACTGCAGGAACTCAAAGAGTTCATAGATCATAATTTGGAGCGCGGTTTCATCCGAGAGTCCAAGGCAGCGGGGGGCAGTCCGGTATTCTTTGTTAAGAAGCGGGACACGCCCCAAAAAAGACTCGTAGTGGATTACAGAATTTTGAACAGTGTGACCAAGCCATCGGACTTCCCCATGCCCCGAATCGACGACCTCCTCGCAAAGGTACGGAAGGGCAGCGTGTTCACCAAGTTGGACCTGCGGGGGGCGTACAACCTCATTCGCATGCGGGAAGGAGATGAGTGGAAGACAGCCATGTTCACGCCCCTGGGCACCTACGAATATAGAGTTATGCCTTTTGGATTGCAAAATGGCTCCCACGTTTTTCAAGCTTTCATGCATCACGTGCTGGCGGGGCTCCTCTACAAGACGTGCGTCTGTTTCTTGGATGACATCCTGATCTTTTCGGAATCGCAGCAGGAGCATGACAGGCACGTCAAGGAAGTGCTGAGCAGGCTACAGCAGCATAGGCTTTACGCCAAGCTGGAGAAGTGCCAATTCGACGTGACGGAGGTGGATTTCCTGGGCTACAAGTTGTCTGACAAGGGGCTCGCCATGGACAGCGCCAAGGTTCGAGCAGTGTTGGATTGGAAAAGCCCACGCAACCGGAAGGAGGTCCAACGGTTTGTCGGCTTCGCGAACTTCTATCGCAAGTTTATCAAAGGCTTTGCTATGCAGACAGCGGCCATCACGGACACGCTCAGCTCCAAGAAGAAGAAGTTCATCTGGACAGAGCAGGCGGAGCAGTCCTTTCAGGCACTCAAGCGTCTCTTCGCCTCGGAAGAGCAGCTGCTTCATGTCAACCCCAGCAAGCCGATGAGGGTGGAGACAGACGCTTCGGACAGAGCCGTGGGAGCAGTCCTGCTGCAGAAAGACCCGCAGGGGGTTTGGAGGCCGGGAGCGTTTTACTCAAGGAAGCTCAGCAAGTCCGAACAGAACTACACCATCTGGGACAGGGAGTTGCTGGCCATTCATGCAGCATTCAAAGCGTGGAGGCACTTCCTGATCGGCGCCAAGCACACGGTGCAGGTCTGCACGGACCACAAGAATCTGGAGCACTGGCGCACGGCGCAGTTCCTGAACCAGAGGCAGATACGTTGGGCCGAATTCTTTGCGAACTTCGACTTCCGAATAGAGTATGTCCCGGGGGACACCAACGTCATGGCCGATGCCCTATCCCGTAAACCACAGTACCTGGAGGAGGCGACGCCAGCGGCTGCCATGCACATCTTCACACCGACGGTGTGGGCGTGCGCTTCAGCGACAGTGGACCTGGATGCGGTGAGGAGAGCGCTGCAGGCTGACACCTTCGCGCGAGCCAAGATGGCAGAGGCGCAAAGGGGCACGGCGGCGACCGGCGAGTTCCAAGTTCGCGATGGATTACTCCTCCGTAAAGGGGCCATCTACGTGCCGGGGGACGATCTTCGCGCCAAGGTACTGCAGCAGCTGCACGACGCACCCACTGCCGGGCACTTTGGCACAGAGAAGACAATAGAATTAGTCGCCAGGGACTTCTGGTGGCCCAGAATGAGAGGGGAGGTCGCGGACTACGTGGCGAGGTGCGACACCTGCCAGAGGGCCAAACCAGTACACAGGCCGCCGGCGGGACTGCTGGAACCGCTGCAAACCCCGTGCGAACCATGGGAGACAGTGGCCCTGGACTTTGTCACGGATCTCCCCAGCTCAAGGGGCAAGACGGCAGTGCTAGTGGTGGTGGACTTGTTCTCCAAGATGGCACATTTCATTCCGTGTGCGAAAGTGGCCACGGCGGAACAAACCGCCAAACTGTTCATAGACCACGTGTTCAAGGTTCACGGTCTGCCGCGGTCTATACTGTCTGACCGGGGGCGGCAGTTCATCTCGAACTTCTGGCAGAAGCTGATGGGCTTCCTGAACGTCAAAATCAACCTGGCTTCGGCTAGACACCCGCAGACCAACGGGCAAGCGGAGCGGGTCAATGCCATCATGCAGCAGTACCTGAGATGTTATGCGAATCAACAGCCTGCGACGTGGGTGGACTACCTGCCTCTCGCCGAGTTCGCCTACAACAACACGAAGCACGTGTCCACGGGGGTCACGCCGTTCTTCGCCAACAACGGGAGGCACCCCAGAACCTTCCCGGGACTGGAAAGAATGGGGGAGGGGGAGCCGCAGACAGCAGATGCATTCGCATCGGAGTTGCAGGAAGTCCACGATCAGCTTCGGCGGCACCTGGAGCTGGCTAAACACGCATACAAGGTACAAGCGGACAAACACAGGAGGGTTGGCGAAGAGTTCCATGTGGGACACTGGGTCTGGTTAGCAGCCCACGCAGTGCCGGCCAGGTCGTTGGCGAAGAAGAAACTAGGGCATAAACAACTGGGGCCCTACCAAGTCGAAGAGCAGGTCAACCCGGTGGCTTTCAGGCTGGCGCTTCCGGAGGGCTCCAGAATGCATCCGGTGTTCCACAGATCGGTGCTCACTCCCTACAAGGCACCTCACAGGTTTCAGGAACCAGGAACGGCACCGAGTCCGCTCCGAGAGAGAACCGAGCAAGGGGGAGTGGCACAGGTGGGGCACATCAACGAAGTCACAGAGATTTTGGACTCCAGATGGGGGGAAGAGGGGGTAGAATACCTTCTCGCCAAGGAGGGCACCCCGGCCAGTGCCAACAGCTGGGTGCCGGGCTACGCTTTAGACGAACCTCTGCTCAAAGAAGAGTTTCATGCCCTCTTCCCACATAGGCCCATGCCAGCAGACTTTTTCGACGACTGGCTTTTCACGCCCACGCTTTCAGCCAGCACGTTCCGGGGGTTCGACTCGGACGAGGAACCGACACGAGACGCCCGTTCCCCGGAGGGGTCACCCTCGGGATCTGCTTCAGAACCCTCGTATTGGTGGGATGATCGACCAGAGGAGCAGTTCCGCAGAAAGTGGCTGGAGGGTCCGGGACGAGCAACGTCTCCAGAAGGAAGCGAGGGGGAGACGGACATGGACGTTTTCGGGGACGACCCGGGTTTCGAGCACGGCGGCACAGAGATGGAAGCGGAGGTGACCGTCGTCGACGAGAGCAGGGAGGAAGAACCGGAAGACTTCAGATGGAGGCCCGCCACGGGAAGCGAACTGTATCCGACATTCGTCCCCCTGACACGGCAGCACCCAGCTCCCGCACCGGAAGGAGGGGAGGGGGGAAGAGGGGGCTTCGAGGGGGGATGGATGTCAGGGGTTCAGGAGCAGAGGCAAGGGCAAGGGAGGAAACAGAGAGCGAGGGGGAGGAGGCAGAAGAAAAGATGAGTGATGACGACGACCCGAGATCTCCGAGTCTTTCCAGTGAATCAGAAGATTCACAGAAAGGAGCACCAGTGGCCAGGGCAAGGGGGGAGACTAGGGGGACACCCCAGGAAGATAGAGCCAGAGGGGACTCAGAGGAGAGCAGTTGGAAATCGGGACCAGCGTCACCGCCAGAGAGCAGGGAAGAGGAAGGGCGCCAGGGATCAAGCGCTGGCAGCTCACAACAGGAGGGAGGGCACGAGTCAGGAGTGGCCACACCTCCATCGGGGAGCGAAGAAACGGTTAGACGGAAAGTGGAAGGTTGGGCGCGCACGCCAAGTTCAAATGCACAGGAAGGTGGCGCAGTAGGCAGCCCGGAAAGGGAGCCAGGTCCTAAAGCCCGGCGCAAGGAGACAGGAGGGTCCGGGGGGTCAGCGTCAGAAGAGTCCAGGAAGGAAGAGACCACGGGGGGCAGAGGGACCCAGAGAAGAACAGTCAGGCGGAAAAGGTGGGACAGGGCTAGGATATTAAGTTGGTGTACAGGGGGCGGAGACTCAGACGGAGCTTCGCCGGTCTAGCCATAAGACGTAGAGTTGCACGCAGCAGCTTGAGAATGGAAACTGTAACTCAATAAAAGACTTTTACAAGTGACCGCTGGCTAGCGTGATCCTCTGTGAGCTAGGATCTGGAAGCAGCTCTGACACTTATGAACAAGCTAAAAAAAGCACCGGTCCCAATAGAGATATTTGGGGGACGCCACTTCCTACATTCCTTTCACTGTGAGAACAGGCAATTTATTCCTTTTCTCTGCTTCATCAGTGCAAACTATATGTTAATTAAATAGTAAAAATTATACATAGCACTGCATTGTTTGAGTGAGATTACTTACCAATAATGTTTTCTAGTGCATCCACAATTCCTTGGAACTGCATTGAAAACTCTCTTCTATTAGGAGCTAGATAAAAATCTGTAGCGAATGCTGGAGAGCTAGATAAGAAAACAATGAATTTCCTCTTTATTGGCAAAAGGTCTTCAGAAAATGTTAAATACAAAACAGCAAAGAGCTTAAAATCTAAAGTGTAGGGCTATCAGGGTGTGTGTGTGCAAGAGAAAGACTCGCCTAATATTAGTATTGTATTCTAATACAAATAACATTAAGGAAGTTCACAGGGGAAAAAAGCTCTCTGTTTTCTCCTCTTCTTTCCTCACAGCATTCCCCGTACCCCATCCCATATTGTTCAAGAAGAGCCCTTCTCTGATATTCCGAAAGGGTTTTATGGAGTTCTGATCAGGTGGGTTAATAGCATTCAAGCATCAGAAAAATAAGTAAGCAAAGAATACCTGAAAATAGGAAAACTTAACTGAAATAAGAGGTCAGGGAGAGCCAGGACAAAAACAATATGAGAGAAAAAACTGAGTGGACTATGCCTGCCTCCCAGAGTTCTTTGCTCTCCTGCGTCCATCATGTGATGAGAGACATTACCCCAACCCATTCAGGTCATCAGCAACCATCTCAAATTGTAAAACCAATAAAATAAATAAGTAGCCCTTTTGCAGAGTCAGCACAATATATGATCTGTAAAACAAGGCCCCTATGATTAGACATACCTTTTATATTTCAGTGATTCCACATTGGATTTAGAAGAATGTGTTCTACCTAATCCAAAAAGAAAAGCAAACACTTAAAAAAAAAATAAGCCATTGAAAATATCAATCTTTGAATGTCATCACTTTCCTAAAAGGAAACGTTTTCTACTGAATTCTTAAAAGAATAATTTCAAAACATGTTATTTGGATCCATTTGGTCCATCCTGTATGATGACCTTTGTTAGGAGAAACAAAAAAAATTCCTTCCAGTAGCACCTTAAAGACCAACTAAGTTAAGTTAAGGTGCTACTGGAAGGAATTTTTTTTGTTTTGACTATGGCAGACCAACACGGCTACCTATCTGTAACTGGAACTTTGTTAGGAGAGATGGGGGAGTGTGCCCACAGGTGCTTCCAGGTGACCTGCTCATTGAGCATTGATCTGTTTGCAGGGAAATTAGATGGTGTTAGCTATCTAATGAACATTTATTTGGTTTTCAGGGAAGTGAGACATGTCAAAACAAGCACTGTCCAACAATTTCCAGTACATTTCCCCATCACCTTTCTTATCGCAAAAAGTCTGGTCAACCATAATTTGCCAGTATGAAACAGAATCCCACCCAATTAGCAATAGCCCTCTTGGTTCTTTTGAACTCTTTTGTATATTTCTGGGCATAGGAGTCAACTCCTAGGAGCCAAGGTCCCTTCGGCCCCATCCTAATAATATATTTGAGGGGACCGGACATCCCCAAAGTTGATAGGCATTGCCATTCCAACGGTGTGTGCGTGCCACATCATGTGATTGATTATGCAGTGTGGGACTTACCTCTGCCCGCCCCCCATATTTTATTCAACTTGGCATCCTTGTTTCTGGGATCGCTGTCCAGGTTGGGGGTGAGCAGCTCCACTTTGTGGTAGCTCCAGTACTACTTAATAATAATTTATAATAATACTTGGGTGGCTATTTCCAGCAGAAGGTGCTAGGGGGATGTTTGGCCCCATGGAGCCTCCAATGTGGGGTGCCACTGAGGTTATTTATATCCCCCATGCTATTTAACATCTGAATGAAACTGCTGGCTGGGGTGATCCACAGCTCTATTTCTCCTTTACAATGGCAAGAGTGGCAGTGGATATGCTATGCCAGTGCCTGGCTCCTGTAATGGATCAGGTGAAAGCCAATAAACTGAAACATAATCCAGATAATGAGCAGCTGTTAGTCAGTAGCTTCTTACATTGGACAGGCAGGATTCAGCCTGTCCTGAAGGAGCAAGTGCACAGCTTGGAGGTACTTCTGGGTTTGTTACTTTTTCTTGAAGCATAAGTGGCCTCAGCGGTACAGTGCGCCTTGCATCCACTTTGGCTGGTGACCCAACTGCAACCCTATCTGGACAGGGGTAGCCTAACTTCTGTTGTCAACGTTCTCATAGGTTAGAATAGTGCAATGTGCTATGCACTGCTTTATTTTTTTTTATTTAGTTATTGAGTTTTATATGAAAAAGTACTTTGTGTTACATCTAAAAAAAGAGAAAAAATACAAACTAAATATCCCACCCTCCCATGCCTTTTACCCAACCTGAAGTCATTGTTCAGATCTAAATAATAATAGTGAAGTTCATATAGCCACTAAAGTGTGGAGAATCCAAAAGTTGCTGATACCAACATAAAGGAAAATGTTAACACAACCATACCTTATGGAATGTGGCAGGTACTACTTTTGAAGATGGTTGAGAAACTGCAGCTAGTACAGAATCCAATAATCAGATTTCCTATTGGGGCAAGACAATCTGAGCAGATAATGTCAATTCTGGCACAACTACAGTGGCTTCCAATTAATTTCTGGGCTCAATTCAAAGTGCTGCTTTTGACCCATAAAGTTTTATGCAGCTCAGGACTGCAATACCTGCCTCTCCCCGCAGAAACGTACCTGGAAATTTCTCCATGTGCCTCTTCCTAGAAAGCTGCAGAGGATTGCAACATAAGAACAGGCCTATTTGTTTTACTCTGCTAAAGACTTCATAGCCTTACAACCTGTATTTCTCACACATGTGGGATAGGAGGTTTAAATTGTAATCTACAGATTTAATCCTCTATCCATCTCCTACATAAACATGGTGTGATAGCTGCAGAGCTAATGTCACTTGTCACTGGGCCCGTCCACATTTCTGCTTGTCCCATGTCTAGAGAGCACAGGTCCAAGCATTGTTTTCCTTGCCCTGATCATTTCCCATGCTCTTCGGTGCTAAATTGGAGCAAACGTCAATCTGGATAAAACTCAAAGAGCAGTTTGTTCCAATTGAACACTAAAGAGTGGTTTTCCCCACGGGGAAAGCAGTGGGACAAGAGGAAGCATGGCTAAGTCCACTGGCCCAACAGTTAGATCTTGGAGAGATGGTATATCTAATGTGACTCTGAGTTGCGCATCTGTGCTCATGCAGACTCAAAGACTCACAATTGTAATCTCAAAGAACTCAGGTTACTCTTACTCAAAATGGTTTTTTCATCGCTGGATGCATTTGACTGTAGTAGCACAGAATTTTCCGATCCTTCATGTTTGCTTTGTCTGTCACTTGGAGATAATTGTTTCAAATCTTCATCTTCCAATGTTTCATTGAAAGGTACTAATGAGGTTTCTGAGAGATAATCATCCTCCTCCTCCTGGATGTATTTTCGACAAAGTTCCTTTTCATAAGGAATTCTAAGCTCTATATTTATTTTAAATATTGGAACATATTCTTCCTCTCCTCTCAGTTGCCTTTTCACATCTTCCAGTATCTAAATTTGTATAAGAAAAACAAAAATGGCTTACATTTTTATTAAGTTTTTAATCATTTAAATGCAAATGGAAAATCTGCACAGTATGAAAAATTATGTGAAAAATATTATTTAAAAAGTGTTTAATTATAAAATAGAAATAATAATATTCAGAAAAATAATATATTAATAAGGAACAAAACTGAATAATCCACAGCATTAATATATTAAAGGTAAAGGTAAAGGTACCCCTGCCCGTACGGGCCAGTCTTGACAGACTCTGGGGTTGTGCGCCCATCTCACTTAAGAGGCCAGGGGCCAGCGCTGTCCGGAGACACTTCCGGGTCACGTGGCCAGCGTGACAAAGCTGCATCTGGCGAGCCAGCGCAGCACACGGAAACGCCGTTTACCTTCCCGCCAGTAAGCGGTCCCTATTTATCTACTTGCACCCGGGGGTGCTTTCGAACTGCTAGGTTGGCAGGCGCTGGGACCGAGCAACGGGAGCGCACCCCGCCGCGGGGATTCGAACCGCCGACCTTTCGATTGGCAAGCCCTAGGCGCTGAGGCTTTTACCCATATTCTTGCTTGAATATGAGGGGTTACTGTTGAGGTAGGTCCAGAGGCTACAGTTAGTGCAGAACTTGGCAGCTAGGTTGCTCATGGGGTCAAACTACTACTAGGACACAACAGTTTGTAGGATCTTCTCTCAGGCCAACTTCAAATTATTATTATTATTATTATTATTATTATTATTATTATTATTATTATTTGAATTTACACAATGCCCTATATGGAGGTCTCAGGGGTTCACAGAAAATACTTTTTGGAACTAATTTCTAAAGCCCTATATACCGAAAGACCCAGTTACTTGAGAGACCACCTTATCTCTTATATATCCAATAGGTCACTGCATTCTGCAGGAGTTTCTTCCTAAAGTCCCAAAAATATCACCAGCCTGCTCCACATTAACAATTCGTAACAGAGTTTTCAGTGTGGCATCTATGTTTCATTATGACAGGTACCCAATATATGTATTTCCCAGAAACAATGGAAAACATTTTTTATTTTGACATGGTTTTTTCAGCCGGATGAAAGGATCTCTGCTCATTTGCTCTTCTTCTTTAACCTAACCAGTTGTTTTCATACTGTTTTATAAAGTTTTCATGATATGTTTGTAAATCACTTTGAGACATGTAAAAGGTGATTCATAACTTAATAACAACAACAAAAATCCATTCTATATTATTATTATTGTTCTTGCTGTTATTAACATTCTGAAATTAAGTGAAAAGGAATGAGTCTAAATGAAAACTATTTTTACACATTGTCCCTCAAGAAGCATGGAGATTTAGCACAAGTTCTTAATTTCTTACCACTGTGATTCTGTTTCAAAAGAGACCCTTGTGCTTAGAAATTAATGAAATATAACATGAAGAAAAATCTTAATTTTATTATACCTTAAGCATTAAAAAAACCCCTAGGAAGAAACTGCCTATAGCTTCCAAATAGCGTGTCATGAGGCATGGAGAGACTATGAGAAACGTGAACCTAAAACTCATGTATTAAGTTTGCTTTAATTTCTATTGAAATAAGCTATATTAGGATGATTTTATTTTGAAAAGTGGAGCATGAATGAATTAACAATCAAACAAAGTGAGATATAAATGAATAAAAAATCTAGCAGAATGCAATCATGCATTATCTTGTAGCTACATTCAGTCCTTCATAAGGGTTAGATTAAGAGATTTTCATTGAAAACAATTTACCTTGCTTATATCACTAACAGTAATGATTTCTACTTGTGGCTCAGGCTTTTCTGAATGGCGTGATGATGCCTGTGATATCTCAAAATAATTGGCTTGAAACATCTGTTGATGTCTATTCTCAGTATTCGATAAGCTATTTGCTCTCTCAATTGTTTTTTTATATGCCCTGCGTATATGGGGGGAAAAACCTAAATTATTTTTGAACAGATATAGGACAAACTATTTCTACTAAGTAATTGCACACACTTTTATCCTGCCTTTTCCCAAAGAGCTCAGGGTAGTAGATACAGAATGATACTGGTAACTGCCTTAAAACATTAAACTACATATTAAATATATCAGAAAGATTATTTAACTATTTGTTAACTATATAATTGGTGTTTATTATAACAATTATGAGAATTAATATTATACTTGGCTCTTTACTCATATTCAACAACAAGCATTTGCTCCAAGAAATTCTTTTTCATAATCTTTCAAAACAGGTACCTATACTTAATAATAAAAGAAAATGACAAAGGAATCTTATGAACAATACAATAAAGCAAAACATTTTGGACAAGTGTTTTCATCATAAACAGGTGAAAATACCATATAAGGTCCTCATTTGTCTTCAGTTTTGAAACTGTCTTATTATTAGAGCCTTCAAATATCTCCAAAAGAAGGTTTAAAGCATTGTGAACCAATTTTCGAAGCAGTTCTTGAAACATTCGGTCAACAAGCTGAAGAAACCTAGAAAAGTCTTCCATTATGTGCCGCCATCCAGCTATCTCAAAGTGTTTTGGCTTTTTTCTGGCATCATCTGGCAAATGCAGAAAAAGCTTTTCTGCTCCCTTCATTTCAGCTATCTATAACATTTTGGAAAAAATAATTTGTAAAAAATAATTACTATATACTGAATAACCTTTTTATAAGATAAAATATTTGCAATACTTGTTCTAAGCTACTAGTAATTTAGGATTGCTTCCAATGAAAGAATTTTCTCTGGTAACAAAAAACAGTTTTTATCTGGTGAACTTCTGGTCTTCTCATTATGTATAATTGTTAGATTGGTCGCTTCATACAAAAGCTTCTATGTGGCATAAATTAAAACAAAACCAATTAAAACATCAGTTTACAATCAAAATACACAGAGTTCATAATAAAATAAGATGCTGCTTGTTAAGTTGTGGGTTGACATAGCAGACGACACTACAATTTCTCCAAAGCAGCTCTTTATTTTGTAAGCTGGAACAGAACTAACGGAGGAGCTCAGTCAGCCTGCTTATATAGAGCTACAGAACAATTGTAACTGTTGCCATTTTCTAAAACTATCCAATCACTGAACGTCACTTTTCGATCCTTCATTTGCATACAAAACTATCCAATCACTGAACGTCACTTTTTGATCCTTCATTTGCATAACTATCTACAGTATCCCCCTGCTGGCCCAGGGTGAGAACTTCAGTACATAACACCCCTCCCCACCGAGATAAGGCTTTAGTTACAATCGTAATGGTTTCCTTATATACAGCACTACACGTAATGGTTCAATTAGGCACAAAAGCATATCGTTACATTTCCCATACTTAGACCAACAGTGATACATGTCCAACAACATAGTCCTTTAAATAAGTTGGGCGCTTGGAAACTCTGCCAGACCACCGGGGACTGGTAGCCATGTCCGGGGGGGGGCACACAATTCTTGCTAAGGCTGTGGTGCGACCCTAGGTGGCGTTGAAACCACATCCCCCTGGATCCGCTGCTGTGGGTGGAGCCTCTGCAAGTGGAGTGGTCTGAGCCTGTGGTAAGTCTGGCAGACCCTCTGAAGCGGCTTGGTTTGGCTCCACGCTGGCAGTTTGTGAGGAAGGTGTAGGTGGAGCCTCGCCATCTGTAAGTGTCTCTTCTGGAGCCACGAGCGCAGTTGGGGGCACCACGGTAGTGTCCAAGTCCCCAACCCTGCACCTAAGCTGGTCTATGTGCCGGCGCCACAAGCGCCCGTCTTCGAGTGCCACCTGGTACGAGTGAGGTCCAGTGACTCCCACTACTGTGGCTGGCACCCAAGGAATGTCCCCCCACATAGTTCTGGGAAAAGACCTGGTTTCCTGGAACAAATGACCGTGGCGCGTTGGCACAGCCTGGGGGTTCGGCCACGGCAAAGTCCGGGTGCAGCCGGTCGAGCGGTGACCTGAGGCGGTGGCCCATAAGCAGTTCAGCAGTGGCCACATGAGGGGTGATGTGTTGCACAAACAAGTATTCGGCGACCCACTCATGCCAGTCTCCCCGGTCCAGGCGCGCCAGTGCCTCTTTTGCCGAGCGCACCATTCTCTCCGCTTGCCCGTTGCTGGGTGGATGAAATGGTGCCGTTAGGGCATGGCGGATGCCCAGTCCCAAAAGATACCGCTCAAAAGTGCCTGACGTGAACTGCGGTCCGTTGTCAGAGACAAGGACATCAGGACACCCAGGCGTCACAAACAGGCCTCGCAGCACCCGGATGACAGCCTCGATAGTGGTGGAGGGCATCAGGGCCACCTCCAGCCATTTGGAATAGGCGTCCACCACTACCATAAAGGTCCGGCCGTGAAAGGGGCCGGCCAGATCGATGTGCACCCTCAACCAGGGTGTCTTTGGCGTCTCCCAGGTGTGTCCCTTAGCTGCCGGTGGTGCAGGCCTCGATTCTTGGCACGCTTGACAGGCGGACACCCAGGCAGTGATGGCATCGTCCATGTTAGGCCACCAGACGTAACACCGAGCCAACGCCTTCATTTTGACAATTCCCAGGTGGCCAACGTGCAGAGCCTCCAGGATGCGTTGACGGAGTCTTTGGGGAATCACGACGCGGTCTCCCCACAGCAGACAGCCGCGATGAGCCGAGAGTTCATGTTGCCTGGTTGTGAACGGTTGGAACTCCGATGCAAAAGGCCCTTGTGGCCACCCCCTCCACACCCAGTTGAGCACACGGCTGGTGGTGCGATCCTGGGCAGATGTGGAGGCCACAGTGGCAGCCGATACAGGCGCTGCCGGAAGATCCTCAATCAGGAGGAGCGATGAAGCTGGAGCCAGGTCTTCCACAAACGCTGGAAGAGGGCAACGGCTGAGGGCGTTGGCATGGCCCATCGATTTCCACGGGCGATGGACGAGCCAGTAGTGGTAGGCAGCCAGGAAAACAGTCCATCGCAGCATGCGCAGTGAGAGGACCGGTGGAGTTGGACGATCACCGGCGAGGAGGCCCAGGAGCGGCTTGTGGTCAGTGATGAGGTCAAAAGTCCTGCCATAGAAGTATTCATGGAACCTCTTCACTCCAGCCACAAGTGCCAGTGCCTCCTTGTCGAGCTGGCTGTAATTCTGTTCCGTCGGAGATAGCGTCCTGGAAAAGTAGGCGAGCGGTGCTTCTCTTCCGTCTGGAAAACGGTGACTAAGGACAGCGCTGATGCCAAAAGGTGAGGCGTCGCAGGCAAGGACCAGCGGCCTGGATTCACTATACTGTACCAACACACTGTCCGATGAAAGGAAAGCCTTGACCACGTTGAAGAATGGCGTCTCCCGATGACCCCAGGACCAAGGCGTCTTTTGTGCTGAGTAGTCGGTGAAGAGGCTTAGCCACCGTGGCTTTGTGGGGCAGGAACATGTTATAAAAGTTCAGCAGCCCCAGGAACGCCTGCAACTCCGTCTTGTTCTTTGGGATGGGGGCCTGCTGGATAGCGCGGATCTTGGATGTGGTCGGGTGAAGGCCGGAGGCGTCGATAAGATAGCCCAGGAACTCTACCTGTGGAACAGCGATCTGGCACTTCTCCCTCTTTACCTTGAGCCCAGCCTCTGGGAATCTGGTCAGCACGGTGCGGAGGCGCTCGAACAGCTGCTGGTGTGAGTCTGCGGACACCAAGACGTCATCAAAATATGGTACCACGCCCGGAAGCCCTTGCAGGAGACGCTCCATAAGGCTTTGGAAGATGCCAGGAGCCACACTCACCCCGAACTGCAACCGGCGGCAACAGAATGCCCCTCGGTGGGTGACGATCGTCTGGGCTTCAGCAGTGGCATCATCAACAGGCAGTTGTTGATAGGCTTGGGCAAGGTCCAGCTTAGCGAAGACCTTACCCTCACCCAGGGAATGCAGCAGGTGTTGGACAACAGGAACCGGACAAGCGTGCTGCTGAAGTGCCTTGTTGATCGTGCACTTGTAGTCAGCGCAGATTCTCACCGACCTGTCTGGCTTGACAGGCGTGACGATGGGGGTTTCCCACTTGGCGTGGTCAACCGGCTCCAAAACTCCTTGGGTGATCAGCTTGTCCAGTTGTTCGTCCACCTTAGCCTTGAGAACAAAGGGAACCCGGCGTGGCTTTAGCTTGATGGGGGCAACTTGTGGATCAAGGTTAAAGGAGATGGGTGTACCTGTATATTGCCCCAAAGTGCCATCAAAAACCTCGGCAAAGTCTTTGACCAGACCCTCAGTCTCTGCGTTAGAAATGCAGTTGATGCCGGTGACTTCCAGGCCGAGGGCATCAAACCAGTCTAGCCCTAGGAGGCTTCACCACTGACCTTTGACCACCACCAGCCGGAGCAGGCCCGAAAAATCCTTGAAGGCGATCCGGAACCGGCCAAAGCCTACCATGGGAATGTCGTTTCCCTGGTAGTCTCTCAGGTGTAATAATAATAATAATAATTTATTATTTATACCCCGCCCATCTGGCTGGGCCTCCCCAGCCACTCTGGGCGGCTTCCATAAAAACCAAAAATACAATAAAATCACACGTTAAAAACTTCCCTGAACAGGGCTGCCTTAAGATGTCTTCTGAATGTCAGGTAGTTGTTTATCGCTTTGACATCTGCTGGAAGGGCGTTCCACAGGGCGGGCGCCACTACCGAGAAGGCCCTCTGCCTGGTTCCCTGTAGCTTTGCTTCTCGCAATGAGGGAACTGCCAGAAGGCCCTCGGCGCTGGACCTCAGCGTCCGGGCAGAATGATGGGGGTGGAGACGCTCCTTCAGGTATACTGGACCGACGCCGTTTAGGGCTTTAAAGGTCAGCACCAACACTTTGAATTGTGCTCGGAAACGTACTGGGAGCCAATGTAGGTCCTTCAAGACCGGTGTTATATGGTCTCGGCGGCCGCCCCCAGTCACCAGTCTAGCTGCCGCATTCTGGATTAGTTGTAGTTTCCGAGTCACCTTCAAAGGTAGCCCCACGTAGAGTGCATTGCAGTAGTCCAAGCGGGAGATAACCAGAGCATGCACCACTCTGGCGAGACAGTCCGCAGGCAGATAAGGTCTCAGCCTACGTACCAGATGGAGCTGGTAAACAGCTGCCCTGGACACAGATTTGACCTGTGCCTCCATGGACAGCTGTGAGTCCAAAATGACTCCCAGGCTGCGCACCTGGTCCTTCAGGGGCACAGTTACCCCATTCAGGACCAGGGAATCCTCCACACCTGCCCGCCTCCTGTCCCCCAAAAACAGTACTTCTGTCTTGTCAGGATTTAACCTCAATCTGTTAGCCGCCATCCATCCTCCAACCGCCTCCAGACACTCACGCAGGACCTTCACCGCCTTCACTGGTTCTGATTTAAAAGAGAGGTAGAGCTGGGTATCATCGGCATACTGATGAACACCCAGCCCAAACCTCCTGATGATCTCTCCCAGCGGCTGCATGTAAATGTTGAAAAGCATGGGGGAGAGGACAGAACCCTGAGGCACCCCACAAGTGAGAGCCCAGGGGTCTGAACACTCATCCCCCCCCACCACTTTCTGAACACGGCCCAGGAGGAAGGAGCGGAACCAATGTATGACAGTGCCCCCAGCTCCCAGCCCCCCAAGACGGTCCAGAAGGATGCTATGGTCGATGGTATCAAACGCCGCTGAGAGATCCAGCAGAACTAGGAAACAGCTCTCACCTTTGTCCCTAGCCCGCCGGAGATCATCAACCAGTGCGACCAAGGCAGTTTCAGTCCCATGATGAGGCCTGGATCCCGACTGGAAGGGATCCAAATGGTCCGCTTCTTCCAGGCGTGCCTGGAGTTGTTCGGCAACCGCTCGCTCAATCACCTTGCCCAGGAATGGAAGATTTGAGACTGGGCGATAATTGGCCATCGTGGCCGCATCTAAAGATGGTTTTTTAAGAAGCGGTTTAATAACCGCCTCTTTCAGCGGGTCTGGGAAGGCTCCCTCACGGAGGGAAGCATTCACCACCACACGAAGCCTATCGCCCAGTCCTTCCCGGCTAGCTTTTATAAGCCAGGATGGGCAAGGATCCAGGAGACAGGTGGTTGGTTTCACTCGTCCAAGCAGCCTGTCCACATCCTCGGAGGTAACAGATTGGAATTGATCCCACTCAACTTGACTAGACAGAACTCTAGCACTCTCCCGCCCCGGCCCTGCTCCCACGGTGGAGTCTACTTCTTCCCGAATCTGAGCGATTTTATCTGCAAAAAACTTTGCAAAATCATTGCAGGAGAACATGTGGCCCGTACTGGGCCCCGATGTTGCAGGTGGTTCCGCTAAATTGTGAACGCAGTGAGAGTCGAATTGCCTTTTGGACACTCTGGGTACCAGTCTTTTGATGGTGCTCCAAGACACGATGGACAGGGCAGACCCAGTGTCGATCTCCATGTCACATGGAGCTCCTTCAATGAGCACCATGACGTTCAGCTTGCGTCGCATAGGCGAGTCGGTTTGGCCAATCGTGGTTCCAGACGGGCAGCGGCAGTTGGTGAGAGCAAAACAGCTTTCCTTGGCAGACTGGAGTGAAGACTTGGACTTGAGAGTTGGTGAAGGGGGGGGTGTCAGATGGAGCCGATCGGCAGACCTTAGCAATGTGGCCCCTTCTGGAACACTTCCAACAGATGGCGTCTCTGAATCGACACTTGGCACGGGAATGGTTGCCTCCGCAGTTGGCACATTCCGGTTGGCGCTTGGACTTCTGTTGGAACTTCCTGCGCTCCCGCTTTGTCTGGTGCACGTCATCGTCTTCACTGGAGGATGCCTCCTCACTGCTGGCCTCTTCGTGATGCACTGGAACTGGCTTCCTAGCAAGACGCGGGCTGCTGGACTTGCGGATCTCCTGGGCCACAGCCTCCTCAATGGCTTTCTGTAGCGTGAGGTCTGGCTTGGCAAGGAGACGCCGTTGCAGATGGATGTCCCGGACCCCGCAGACGATTCGATCCATCAGGGCATCGTCTAAGTCTCGGAACTCGCAGTGCATTGCAGCCTGTCTGAGGGCAGTGGTGTAGTTGTTGATTGACTCCCCCTCTGCCTGGTTCCGGTGGTAAAATGCATGGTGGGCAGCAATCTTGGACGGCTTTGGTGCGTAGTGGTTGTGGAGCTTCTCTTGGATCATGTACCATGGTGTTGCCTGGACTGCTTCAGGCGCAACCAATGCTCGGGCCGTCTCAAACACCTCAGGCCCACAGAGGCTGAGGAATAGGCCCCGCTTCCGTTCCTTTGATACTGCTGTCAGCTCGTTGGCTTGGAGGTAGCAGTCGAACTGAGCGAGGTAGGAGTCCCATGATTCAGAGGCTGGCGCAAACGGCGGTAGAGGCACAAGTGAAGCCATGATTCCGATGCCGGCGTGAAGGGCGATGGATGGAACACCGTGCTCTAGCCAGAACAGTCAGCTCTGAATTGGTTCTGTCCAGTGATTTCACTCTGTGATTTCGCTCTGTGATTCAGCTCAGTGATTCAGCTCAGTTCGGAGGATGGCCGCATCTGGCTGGGCTCTGATGTCCATCGATCCCATCCTCGTCGCCAGTGTTAAGTTGTGGTTTGACATAGCAGACGACACAGCAATTTCTCCAAAGCAGCTCTTTATTTTGTAAGCTGGAACAGAACTAACGGAGGAGCTCAGTCAGCCTGCTTATATAGAGCTACAGAACAATTGTAACTGTTGCCATTTTCTAAAACTATCCAATCACTGAACGTCACTTTTCGATCCTTCATTTGCATACAAAACTATCCAATCACTGAACGTCACTTTTTGATCCTTCATTTGCATAACTATCTACAGTATCCCCCTGCTGGCCCAGGGTGAGAACTTCAGTACATAACACTGCTTTAAGAACCATTTAGCTCAATCACAAATTTCAAAAACTCACCATGCAAGCTAAAGTATTCAACAACAGAATGAAACGGGGACTAAAATGAAGAGATAGTCAAATAATATTAACATGTTTAAAAAGATTAAAAGATCAGAGCTCAGCACCAATTGAAATAAGAAAATCAGCATTCTCCAACAATGCCGATGATAACTTGAGCACCTTGCCCATTTCCCACTAGCCTTTAATTGTTCAAGTCTTCTGGATTAAGAATGATTTTTTTCAGTAGTCATGCTTCTATTTCTTTTAAGGAGTCTGAGGCGACTCCCTTCCATAAAGAGGAGTTTAATTAATACCTTACCATTGATACATTTACTCAGTATTATCTACACTGGCTGGCAGCAGCTCTCTATCTAGCGATGCCTGGTATTGAATCTGGGGACCTTTTAAAAGCACATCATGTACTTTGCCACTAAACTACAGCCTTTCTCCATCTAACAATTCCATTTCACTTAAAAAAATGAATAAAATACACATTAAGACTTGAAAAATACAAAGAAACTCCAAAAGCATGCCCTCTTTCTTGCTATTAGAGGAAAAAAAATAAATATAGTTGAAGTGATATACAAGAATTAAAATATTTAGAATTAAAGTACAAAAAAAGAGAACTTGCCTTTAAGAAAGAGGTCCGGATTACTTTGATTACTTTATCTTTAAAATCTTGTAGCTGAGTGAGTGCCTGTTGACTTTGTTTGTATTGTTCCTCACAAAATTCATCCAAAGTGTATGTGTGGGATATGTCTATCTAAGAAAAAAAGGGGGGTGGAATATATATAGAATAACCCAAAAATGCCCTAAATCTAAGGCAAGATCCTGTGTTCATTGAACCACCTCATTAATCCTTAAGGGCAAAAGCAAGAAATGACATAGCATCAGCACTAAAATGCAAAAAGAGAAAAGTTAAAAATCTGTGAAATTCTGTTCATCTTTATGTAAACACAGCAATCAACTTTGATAGCACTCCTTCCTTTAAACCAGCAGTTCTCTGCTTAACTTCCCACAATAATGGACCACAAAACATAGCAATAAATATACAGGGTATGAGAATTGAATCAATTATCAGACTTCCAGGGGAGTGTCGTGGCTGGTAATTTGCATCTGTCGAGGCGCTGTCAACAGATGTAATTAAGTGGTGATTAATGAAAGCTGCTGTCTGCAAAATTGGCTTAATATTACATGTCTGTGAATCACCAAACTATCACTGGGAAGCAGGGAAGCAAGTATGGAGTCTTTATCGTAAAAAGAAAACACATTTAAATCTTTCAATAAATAGATAAATATTATATTTTAAAATAATGTATTAGGAATTACATAGATCAGCATGATATTAATCACTTTATCATATATGCAACATACTGTGAAACTGATCTGATGCAATTGATTCAGTTGTTACAAGCCAAATCCCAGACTTAATGACCTTGAACCTGAACCAGACCTAAACCAGAACTTTAGTTAAAACTGAACATAAACCAGAACCAAACTAATACATTTGATCTGATTCTCTTGTTTCTCACACTGATAGGTCATAATGCCCTCATCATTTATCAGATGAAATCTTGAGAAATGGAAACCGTACATTAATGCATTCATTTTATTATATTACATTTTAATTGGATTCCAGATTTTCACTGGCTTCCAACAGTAAATATTTCTGTATAAGTAATTATATTTAAAGTTGTGGAAATATTTTTTCCTACACTTTTTCTATCCACTGAAAATATTTTTCTTCTCACCTTTATGAAACTGATAGTTTTATCTTCTGACAATTTGTGCTTCTCAGTGTTACTCACGTCCTCACACAATGCTTGAATATAAAGCAAGCATTTTTGTAATATCTCATCAGCCAGAAACAAACGTTTATACAACAGCATTCTGCCAAAAAGAAAACCAGTTCTAAGTATAAAACCCATACAGATTCTCAGTTCACAGTAATAAATGTTAAGTGACATAACAGGGATGCCATGGAAATTCTCCAAAATTGTGTGCGTGCAGTGGATGAATGAATGTGTGTGTACAAACACACACACACACAAACACATACTAATATAACCTTTATAGTGTTCCCCTTTCCCCTCCAATTTGGAATTTATATCTCTGACTATATATGTCATCCTATGAAGGTAGACCCTGTTCATTTTCTCAATGTTACTTTTAATCCTTTACCTATTTTCCTCCATTTCTTCATTATTTCTTTTTGGCTGGGGAATGACACCAGTTAATAAAAAGTTTCTATATTTAAAATCACATAAAGAAGGTTCTGAGGAACTCCGAAAAATGGCTGCAGTCATTGGCAGCCACGGCCCTACTGGGGATAGGATTCAGGGCCATACAGTTTCATCTGACTCTGCTTCAGTGGCCACAGCCACAATCAGATGCATCTGTTTGTGATTCACGGATGAGACAAGTCTCACCCATTATTCCAAGGGCACACTAAGAAAATCTATCAAACTACATCCATCAGGGGTGTAATGTACACTTCTCTGTTCCTATCCCACCACTGTAAACCATAATGGGCCACTACACACTTTGTAAAAATCTGAACTTCTGACTTACCTAATATAGTAATAGAAAATGAAAACCACTGCACAGCTTATTTGCTAACTATATTTCAGAAATGATAGGTAATAATAATAATAATTTATTTCTACTCCGCCCATTTGGCTGAGTTTCCCCAGCCACTCTGGGCAGCTCCCAACAGAATATCAATTAATAATAATAATAATAATAAGCGATAAAACATCAAACATTAAAAACTTCCCTAAACAGGGCTGCCTTAGTTTCACAAACTGTCTACACTAATATATTTTGTTCACACTTACTTGCTGTTCTCTATTTTTGATCTCTTAGCATTGCTTTTCCAGGTGATAAAGTATTTCCTCTTTCTAGAAAGAAAAAAGTAGAGAAAGAGATCTGGAAGATTGCACAACAAAAAGATAATAGAGCCACATGTTTACTTCAATTTTGTCACAAAAAGGAAATATGTAAATATTTAATATCAGACCCTACTCAAAGGTCTCAACTCCAGTAGCAGCAGCATTGTGAACTTAATAGCATACGCAAAAGAACCCCCCAAAAAACCCCTGGTATCTCTCCCAAGGAACTTGCAAATTCCGCAGTGAGAGAGACAGTAGATACTAGAGAGGAATAGTAGAAACAATGGGAAGAATGAATATGAGCAAATACTGTACTAACATTGGTTAATTACTGAGAATGGGCCTTGTAAATTGGCATAGGGAAATGTCTGCATGGAAGATGGTGTATATTCCCTCTGTGCACAGCCTGCCCCCTCCCTGTAACCTTGGCAATGTCTGCCCAGGCCCAAGGATTCCTCTGATGTGCAATGTGCGTAGTCAACACCTTTTATCATGTTAACACCTCGATCCCAGGTGAGGTCCTGGTTGGAAAGGAAGCTTAACTTGTATTTTTCCATTGGCCTGGAATCTTCCCTTCAATACTCCAAATATTGATTCTGATATTCATTAATTTATTGGGTTTAGGGGGTCTCCCCTCGCAACATCCTCAGTAACATATAGGAAGAAATAATAATTCGAATAATAATAATTCTGATTATATTGGGGTGGATCAAGAGATGCGCTAACAGAAGAAAATCTGGCAGTGACATACATAGGAGCCAACTCCTAGGGACTGTGGGGGCTTTGGTCCCCACAATAAAATATTTGAGGGGGCTGGGCCCCCACAAAGACAATGGGCATTTCAAGTCAAATGGTGTGTGTGTGTGTGCATTGCATCATGTGATCGATTATGCAGGGTGAGGCATACCTAGGCTCCCACAATATTTTATTCAAGTTGGCACCCCTGGTGACACATGAACAGTTGTGCAAGAGTTGGTGGAAGATATTACGTAACACTGTGCAAATTACAAAGTGCCTAGGATGGATTAAGTAGGTAACAGCAGGAGAAATTGTGCAATGCTTTTTGCAGGCACACATCTTGAGAACTTGTGGAAAAGACTGTAACCTTGTGCAAGAGATTTGTGCAAACTGAAGAACAACATTCAATTCCTATTCTCCCTTCTCATGCAAAGATATTGTGTTGTAACAGAAAAAGCCCTTCTGTAAGAGGAACAGCACTCCAGGATTCAGCCTATAATGTACTGAAAATATAATACAATCTCTCTTACCTGAAATTAAAACATATATCGATACTTCGTAATGCATAATAAATTTGTCTTTCACACAACCACTCGATTACTGGTATTATTTCCATTTCTTCTTTTCCACACACTGAAGTAAACTAGAAAAATGAAGCAAAACTACTTTCAAGAGTTCAAAGATTTAACTGTTTCCGCTTATTTTAAACTGTGAAGTTTCTCCCTTCTTACCTCTATAGATGTGTTCTTTTATAATTAACCAGCACCCTATAAACACATTACTTACCACTATTTATGTTTTTTTACATCTACCTAATGAAAAAAATAAGAATGTCGCACACAGGAATTCTATCATTTTGCCTGAAAACCTGACCATTGATTCTAGAATTCAGAAACATTTGATTTTACATAATCTCACAATTATGTCACTCGACTCAGTTTGGAGACCCAGCCATCAGTACACAAGCAATTCCAGTTAGACCCTTTGCTTTGGAAGGCACACTTTGTGTAGAACAGCAGATTGTCTGATTTTAAATTTATGGAATTTACTTTTTTTTTTTACTGTGGCCCAGGTGAGCCAACATACACCAAGAATTAAGGACAAGGTGCCTCTGAAAACATACTCAACTCAGGAGAAAAGTCTACTCCAGGTTTCCTCCCAAGCTTTCTTTGTGTCAGAAACCTAATTTAGGATAGTGAGAGGATGCCTTTTAATCATTGCTATTGTTAGAAAACAGGGAATCAGGAATTGTGTGTTGAGACCCCGCAGCCACCCCCTCGTTGGAAATAACTCACACAAGGACACAGATATTAGATTTATGTTATTGGGCAAAATTCTGGCCACAACTTTATTGAAATAACAGAATGTGAGCAGTATTGGCTTAGGCCTTGATTGGACCTGACTATATCTGACTCCTGCCCATTGTGCAGGAAGTCCAGTAAGGGTAAGCCACCGGTAGGGGTAGCCCTGTCGATGCGAATCAACTCAAGCTCCCCCTGGTGTTCCCGTCGGGGTCGTGTCAAGGCCCTAGCCCCCAGCCGGGCTTCAGACTAGATCTACACCCCCGGATTCCTTTAACGGAATACCCTTAAGCGTGGAGGGGCAAGTGATGGCCACACCTCCCTCCCCCCACACAAGGTCAAACAATGCCTAACCGCAACCCTAACAAAGTTGTGACGATTGCTATGAGGTAGGTGAAAACCAAGCGGCCAGTGCCAATTTGCCAAGTGGAAAAATTCCTACCAAGCCCCTCGGACAACCAAGGCAACCAACCAAAGTCCATAGCAAGGCCATTGCCTAACCTGCAAAATAGGGAGGGAGGGTGGGTGATTGAGGAAGCGAGCCAAAGAAGAAGTCCTCTGGCTCGCTCCTCCGTTTAAACAGCTCCGGCCACGCCCCCCCCCGGCCAGCAGATTGGCTGGCCGGGCTCTGATGTGGCCGGGATCCCCCAGGCAACGGGGGACAAAGTCCCCTGCCCCCTGTGGGGAGTGGGTGGCCACGCGGTCCACCACTACTCCTCCCCACTGGGAAGTGGAGAGGATTTCTCATTGATATACAGTGGGATCGCTTCTTGTGTGGGGTTATGTTCGGGGGGGGGGGGAGAATAGCCCGTAAATCACACAATGTCAAAACAACCTCCTGGAACTGCCTCTGAATGAGCAACCTTACCTTTCGGAGCTGGCACAAGATCTTGCAGAACTGTCAGAGATCTTGTGAGATCTCACAAGGCCTGTGAAGTCTGTGACAGCATTTCTTAGAGCCCAGTAAACAAGGCAGAGAACTGAAAAGCCATTTTTATGCAGGCTTTTCCCTGTTGCTTACCTTGGATACATATGAAGCCGTAACAGTCCAATATTCTTTACTTTGTTTGGCCATACTTGGAGAGACTACTTGGAGGTCATATGGATCATAGTCTGCTTTAGGGTCATTTCTACTTCTTATGAGACAATATACAAACTCTCCATCATCTTTCTGTAACGCACCTTTCTGAAAACAGAAAATCAGAATGAATTAATGAAGAACTTAACAAGTGTTTCTGAAACTTGGCTCCCCAGCTGTTGTTGGACTGCAACTCCTATCATCCCAGACCACTGGGCCCAGCTAGTTAGAGCTGATGGGAATCTAACAGCAGTTAGGACCCAAATTTGAGAAACACTGATTAAGCTGAGATTGTAAAGACACATAAGTCTTATTAAAATCAATGTAGCTGGACAATGTGTGAATTCACAAACATTGGGCTTTGGAAATAAACAGAAAAGCTCTTAAGAATCTTAATAATTATTAATTATGAAGCACCAGCAATTCACAATACAAACATTAAGGTGGATAGTTCTCATTTTGAGTGCTGTTAGTCCAAATCAGACTGCCAGAAACAATAGCCTAGGAAGTAGAGCTGGTGTTGTGCAAGAACAAAAATCGTAGCTCTAAACAGGAAATCTTTTATTTAATTAGATAGCATATGGATTTATCTATTCATCTATCTATCTATCTGTCTGTCTATCTATCTATAATCATTAGTCAATACTGTAGTCAATACTGCAGAACATTTAAGAAGCAAATGCAGAAGGAAGATTTAAAATATTTAATTATACCACCCAAGTCCTTAAGTTACGGTGCAATAGAAAGCGAAAGACATAATATGTAAAAGTTATCCATCTACCAAATACTAGCTAGAGTTACCTTTCTTCCATGCCGGCCTATCTAATGAAAACTAGAACCCAAGGGATCACTTCTCTGTGTTTTTTTTGCTAGGATTTTGTCGCACAACCACAATACAGAACCATCAAAATCAAAGACAAATTTTCATTAACTTCAACAGGTTCCAAACTGAATCCTAAATACATAAATTAAACAAACCGACTTGAACTGAAAAGGTAAATACCGGCAATGTGATCTTCTGAAAATTAGCTAAATTTTCCGGTTTAGCTACAAATCCACGTCGTGGTAATGATGTCTCCCACCCAAGTCTATCTCTCAGTCTCAAAATATGAGATACTACATCGTCAATAATTGGTTCTGGAAGAGAAAAGAATGTAGTGAGTATTATTTTGTGTATAAACATTATAAATGTTCCAAAAAAACCTGTAATTTTGGTTAAAGCAGTCTCAAAATATGAGATACTACATCGTCAATAATTGGTTTTGGAAGAGAAAAGAATGTAGTGAGTATTATTTTGTGTATAAACATTATAAATGTTCCAAAAAACCCTGTAATTTTGGTTAAAGCAGTAATAACATCATCATCATCATATAACCCTGCACATCTGGCTGGGTTTCCCCAGCCACTCTGGGCGGCTTCCAACAAAAGATTAAAAATACAAAGATTAAGTCTTTGTATGTGTAAAAATCCACATGCCATTCTAAAATTATGACATTATAAAGTGATAGAACTATGACTACGTATTAAGCTTTGTCAGTCTGTGTAAGTTATTTACAGTATGCACACAAAGGATACATCTAACTCAGGGGTAGTCAACCTTTTTTACCTACCGCCCACTAATGGATCTTTCTTGATGGTAAAATTTCCTTACCTCCCACCAGTGCTTGATGGAAGGAGGATTCAGCTTGTGCCGTAGAACCCCCTACCACCGCCCACCTAGAATCCTGAAACGCCCACTAGTGGGGGTAGGGACCAGGTTGACAACCCCTGATCTAACTTAATCACACTGTAGACCTACTGAAATCAATGTGTATGACTAATTTAAGTCCATTAAGAGGTGTGTCTTGTTTGGCATGGGGTGTCATGGGGTGCTTCTATTACATAAACAGTAATTTCTGGTTTGAGGCAAGTCGCTTCTGCAAAACAGACATTCCCAGTTTGAAACATGCTAGTCCTTTTTAATGTGGATGCTGGCTTAAATCAAAGCAGAAATCATTATATTTAAAGACAGGTCAATTCACCCTAATTTGCATTCAATTAGCTTGAAAATTATCTGAGTTCTTCTGGGGAGGAAACAGAAGAACCCAGATTTTTCTGAACCACTCCAGGGCTCAGAAAAGTAACTCTTCCTTCCTTGACATCTTTCCTCAGACCCAAATCTTCTTGCCAACCCTCTCAAAATCCCCTGCATTTCTTCCCTGCCAAACAGTGGTTGAAGCAGGAATTCCCTCCCCCTGGAGACACAGATGACCAAAATGCTGATGAGACATCATCTTTGGTGATTTTTCCCCTCTCTCTTCCAAGCTTTTGAAGGTTTTGTTTAGATGCCTTACAAAATTGTTCTGAGTTTAGGATTATTCTGCACTGCAGCATTAACTGTTTTATTACACTTTCAATTATGATGATTTTAGATGTGTTTTATTCATTCTAAAGTGGGTCACTATGAGAGATGAAAAGTGCATGTGTCACATTTAGATGTCTTTTCAGTGAATTATACTGTATTATACATAAATTACTTTGCTTAAATGCATTATTTTGTCTGGGGTAATTTTTTTTTTCATTGGCTACATCACAGACAAAAATCACCCATGGATAAAACAAATGCAGAAGTACTGACTTCAAGAGTGCATGTGGCAACAGCGTTTGGCTTTCAATATACACACCAGTTTTATCGTAACAGGGAGGTTTTTTCTCTCTGATAGTTTTGTGATCGTAACCAGCTTGAAATTTCATGCATGTTCTTTTATGGCAACTTAAACGGGTAGAAACAGGAAGAATTTCAGACTTTTCATTTTCACCTGGAACAGATAACCAATATAATTAATCACATAACCACTGTATTAATTAGAAGCCCAGGATATATGATTACTGAAACTTATTGCCAGTTTCCGCTTAATATTCTTTGTTCTTCATAATATTCTCTGTTGCTCATGAGTGAATGGCATCCATCTCTGTCAAGAGAAAATAACTTGGTAACTGCAGTAAAACGAGCTGAATTTAGTCCTTCCTTCCCCAAATTTAGTCCTTTTTCCCCCAAATGTGTCTCAAATTACATCTCAGTTGCAATTTGTGTGTGCATGTGTGTGTGTGTATACATAACATGTCACACAATAGCATACATTTTCAAGTGAAAAATCTGATTTTCCTTATATAATCTCTGCACTTGCAAGATGTGCATAAGAAATTGGAGAAGGGGAAAATTGCAATTCTTAACCATTTCAGAATTCTTTTACTAGCTTAGCTATTTAATAACAGTCTTAGTGTCTCCATTATACCTTTACTTTCAATGAAAACATCAGATGATACATCACTAGTACAGCTGGATTCTTCCTGAAGAGGAACTAAAGAAAGTCTCTCATCATTCATATCTCCCAGTTCAGAGTATTCCATGCTCTGATGCTGATCCCATTCAGTCAGTTCAGTACATTGACCAACAATTGGTTTTATCTTTTCCTTATGTATTTTTGAGAAACTAAAAACACAAAAAGAAAAATCTGAAAACTATTCTACATGATACTTTTAGCACATGGAAACAACTTTTACATGCCCCAGAATATGCAGTGCTTGTGTGGAAGCAGTGTATTAAAACATCACATTAATTAAGGAGCTGTTTTTAAATAAAATGAATTTTCAGCTGAAACATTGGCCTGTTTCTCATGTCACTTTGCAAATGAACGACATCCTGGTACACTAAGTGAGAATCGCAGCTACTTCATTCCTCACCTCCTCCTGCTGCTGTACTACCTAGAGTTGACTTAGCATTACAGTCAAACCTAAACTTGTGGTTTGGTTCCCACAAACAAATCACAAGTGGGAAGCTAAGAATAAATCTTGGTTATAGCTCTTGGGTTCGTCCGGAGAGAGACAAACCACACGTCTGGATAACCACTTAGGCAAACCATGGCTTATGTTCCAGCAGTGCAGCAGCAGTGGAGGGGTGAAGCAATTTATTATGATAAAACTATGAAGAAATTGAATGCTGCCAATCTCATGTTTTCTCATAACGCTTATGTGGGGAACAAGGAGACACTTACAGGGGAAACTGATTGGCAGAAAGTGTGCTTAATCTCCCCCCTCCCTTCTAATCTCCCTTGCCAATGTCTCTTCCCCATCCATTTTTAATTATTTTTCTCCCAGCCACACTCCAAAACCATCTCAGCTGGGGGGGGGGGGAATAGCTGGATGGAGAAGCATTTTGAGGGACTAGCAAGCCCAGGAAGTAGTTCAGCCTCCAATCGTCCCAACAATTTTCTCCTGTAAGTAATGCCATCATCCTCACATTCCTGTTATCACGAGAAATGCAGGTTTGGAAACATGCATTTCCCAAGATAGCTCCATCCAGTGTTTGTGTCTCTTGAAGCTTATATGAATGCATATATTATTTAGATAAACAGGTCAGTTTCCCTTAAGTAATACTTTCATTGATTACTGAAATAAATGAATAGTCTGCTACATCTATGTTTTAAAAAACAGTGCAGACCAGAGCTAAGAGTCTGAAAGACTCTTGAATCCAGATACTGTAATGGTATCTGATATAAATCTAAGAGACTAAGAGACACTACAATGTGATGGATAGCCAGCTTACTACTAAACTCCTTCTGTGTACATCAGCTCCCTGCTTGTGCTTTACAGAGACACACAATCAAATAAAAAAAAAGAGGAGGAACGGTTAAAAAGAGGAAAAGAACAACAAGCTAAATCCTAAGCAGAACGTAGACAATAGAAAGTTTACGTACACATATGCAAAACCCATTTTGCCTTCTTCTGCTTTGACTTTGTGTTTTTTTGAGCCCTCTGCTCTGTAAACAGCTGTGCGAAGCTCAGATGGAATCGCAGAAGAAACCTGGAAGGAGTGAATGTTACAAATTGGTATAAAGAGGTATGGCAGATTGCATTACTGGGGAAAATGATTAATAGATTGAGACTTGCATCGTGTTGCCATTTATTGAAGAGCAAAAAAGAGGACAGCCTGAACTGCTGCCAGCCTGAGCCAGGGAAAGAGGTGTGCAGGTACACAGAGCTGCCAAGCCTGTGCACCTCTTTCCCTGGGCTCAGGCTGGCAGTGGCCACGGCGTGCAGAGCCATCTAAATTTAACCCCACCCCCTAAAACCTGGACATTTTCATTGAAATGTAAAAATCCCTCAGATGGGCATGTTGCCCCCCCCCGAGGACATATCCGAGATTTCCCGGATGTATGGCAACCCTAGACTTGCACATTTAAAAAGACAATTTTACTGCAACTTGGGTAGACTGTATAGATTTTATGAGTACAGCCGAATATGGCAATCTTCTGGCAACAGCTCTTTGTACTGTATGGTTGACACAACTTTCCTACCCCCTCCCTTCTTTGGTGAACTAGGCTCCCCTGTGGGAAAAGGGGAATTTTATTTTATTTTAATTTTATATAATCTATTTTTCATAACATCTCTTATATCACTAGGTGGTGCTGTATCCATATGAATATTTTGAATAAAAGTTTAATTATTCATATCACTTCAATCCATCTCAAAGCAGTATATATTTTAAGATTTTGCACTATTATCTTGGGTGTGTTTCATTTTTTATATGTATCATGATTTAATAGATATTGTTTGTCTTTTGCTTAGTTTGTCACAATCTTTTATGATCTTGTATATTTTATTGACATAACATCAAATCAGTTATTGTGTGGTTACTATTGTGGAAATTTAAGTTGCTGTTTTATAGCTCTTATTTTGGAAAAGTGATGCTTGTTGTTAAACATTTAATAAAAAATATTTTTAAAAAGAAGGAGGAATCCCAGCTGGAAACAACTGGATAAGAAAAACCAGTGACGACATTACTGTGTCAGAACAGGAATGAAATGCAATGTAGCCAACATTAAGCACAAGGGCGCCAACTTGGATCCTTGACTGTGGGTGCACAACATGCTGCACTGCATGTCATAACTTTGCAACGCAGCATGCATGCATGTGCACCGTAAGAAAAGCTGGGCCTGGGCCGGCACTTCCTCAGGGCCCAGTTTTTTTCACAGCACAAAATATTGTGGGTGCTGTAGCCCCTATAGATGGCGCCACTGATTATGCACTTTAGCATTACAGTGGTACCTCGGGTTAAGTACTTAATTCATTCCAGAAGTCTGTTCTTAACCTGAAACTCTTCTTAACCTGAAGCACCACCTTAGCTAATGGGGCCTCCCGCTGCTGCCGGAGCACGGTTTCTGTTCTCATCCTGAAGCAAAGCTCTTAACCCGAGGTACTATTTCTGGGTCAGCGGAGTCTGTAACCTGAAGCGTATGTAACCTGAAGCGTATGTAACCCGAGGTACCACTGTATAGTCAACCATTCACTACAGTTATGCCACCTGCACTAGGATACTCATTCTCATTCAAGAGCACATTTTAAAAAAAAACAAACTACATCCCTGCTCAAGATAGTATAAAGGGAAAGCACGCATCTTTATATCAGTGCTGAAATCAAGTCTCTCAGACGTACTGCACAGATAATTTTTTGAGGAGGACAGGGAAGAACATAGGAATACTATGCTCACCCCAAGTCTTACTCTATTTACTTGGATGTAATGCACACCTATTTTGGCCAAATTACGTCATGAAAATTAGGGTGCGAATTAGATTTGATGGCATATTTACATTCACTAGCAAATACCTTTTTGGTTTCAAGGTTTTGAAATTTGAGGTGCGCAGTAGATTCGATGGTGCATTAGATTTGCGTAAATACGGTATAACAGCAAGTGAAGCAGAGCTGAACAAAATGTTTTCATGTTAAAGGTACATCGAAACATGAGTTTTGATGAAACAGAGAGATTCTGATAGTTTTCAGCTGGAAGAATATTCCAGAACCATAGAACCTCCACAGAAACATCTGACTCTCATGCTCACGATCTGAATACTGTATCATGAAAAGGCAATGAGACAAAGGCCTCTGAGTTTGATCTTAGGTCCTGAAGGTTACCAGCTCCTTAACTACTTATGGCTATATGGGAAAAGCTAGAACCGGCACTATGAATTGTGTTGGAAAACAAAAAGAAAGCTAGTGAAGCCTCAATGAGATTGGAGTTATATGCTCCAACCTGTGAGCACCAGACAAAAGTCAGTCTGCCATATTTTAGACCAATTGAATCTTCCAGACCATCTCTGAGTGCAGTCCATATAGAAGACATTGCAGCTCATCTTCTCCAGGAAAGACTATAGCTGGAATATGAATAATACAATTCATCACAAGTCATTAGATACCATTCCACTAGATAGTCCAATCACATGAATCCATTTCAGATTGTGCAGGGTAAACTCCAGTTTATGTCTCATCAATAACTTAACATCTTACATTTGGCAAGGGAACTAGCTTTGCTTTACTTAAAATTAAAACACCTTAATTTTAAATGCATTGCTACTGCTTGTTTCCAGATAAGCCACTAAAAGAACATACTATAAAACACTAGAAATTAACAAGCAACTGCTACTCAGTGTACAAATTAAAAAATGATAGAATCTCACTGCCAGCGGTTTCACATCTTCCATAGAAGCTTGTTTGGGCTTAATAAACTTTCCTTCAACCATATGTGGTACTTTAGTATTCTCTGGTGTAAGCTGGAGACGAGATACCAGTGATTTTTGACGTCCTCTTTTCTTTTTATCCATCTTGGATTGGTATCTTTGGTCCTATTGCCAAGAGAGTTATCATATTATTTTTGAAATGTGGCAACCTGTTTTCAATGATATTTTTCTTTATTGCCAGAAGAAATTATACTCCCCATTTATAGTGGCAACTTAAAAAAACAACCCTGAGGTTTTGCTTGTCATAATTTTTATTAAAATATGTATCTTATATAAGAATGACAATGACCAAGGGTGCCAGCTTGAATAAAATAGGGGGGGTCTGCATAATCAATCATAAAATGCTGTGCATGCACACCATTTGAATGGCAATGCCCATGGGCATACCCACGATTTATTGGGGGGGGGCGGGTGTCAGTTAAGTGTTGTTGTTTAGTCGTTTAGTCGTTTCCGACTCTTCGTGACCCCATGGACCAGAGCACGCCAGGCACTCCTGTCTTCCACTGCCTCCCGCAGTTTGGTCAAACTCATGCTGCTAGCTTCGAGAACACTGTCCAACCATCTCGTCCTCTGTCGTCCCCTTCTCTGTGTGCCCTCCATCTTTCCCAACATCAGGGTCTTTTCCAGGGAGTCTTCTCTTCTCAGTTAGTTAAGTACTTTTATTTATTTACTTGAGTTGGGGGCACCTCTCTACCCCAACCCTTGGCTATGCCCACAGCAATGCCTAACAACTTGTTGGGGGGGGGTCCGAAGGGACCTTGGCCCCTAGGAGTTGGCACTTATGTTCTTACAAGTCATTTATGCTGGTAATTTACACAGCTGTGAAACTATGAGATACCTTAAAACAAAAATATTTTTCAAATGGCCATAACTGAAAACTTACACTGAGCTTGCAGAGTATCTATGACATATGATAAAAGCTATTGTTTTGACTCAGGCTATTTACATCTCAGCCTGCCTTTAAAAGGCTAACGCTCCATACACCTCTAACCTATTTGACCTATCTCTATACAATACCTGTACAAAATTATGGGGGGGGGGCCTTCAACCCATGGTGCAAGCAAACCTACATGCAAATCTATTTAAAAATACATAAAACATCCTAAACTTTACAACATTTGGTTTTCTCATTGAGTCACATTAGGCAGGCAACCTCTTTCCTGTCAGGTTTCCCATTTGTTTTTGAATTTAAAAGACCTGCAAAACAGGCAGAAATTCAAAAAAAGGATACAGTAATCTATTTTCAAATACCTCCCCATCTCCCTGCTGTATTAAAAAGCTCCCCCTTACAGCTTTTAACCTTGGCTTTTGAACTGCAGAAGCAAATGTTGGTACTGTATGTTTCTGCCCTTTCCGAGGCTACAGAAGACCAAAGGCCTCCAAAAAGCTTGTAGTCCTGGAAAAATAGGCATAGAAATGAAGCAGCAGGGCGGGAGGAATATAGAGGTCTATGCCAGGAGAGAGTGAAAACCTGGCGGAGATAAAGGAAGGGAGCGGGAAGAAGGAACCAAGAACAAACAGGCAAAAAGGAAAAACTAAGGAAAAAATCCCTTCCAAGATGGTTTTGGGTTTTTTGCTGCGCCCAGAGCAGAAGGGCAATAGCCTTGCTACTGTGGCGAAGGCAGGAAGTAGATGTGGAGTTAGGGGGCTGTCCTGCCCCTGATATATTCTTCAAAAAATTAACTTTATCAAGGATCACATGCCTCCCTTAAAGGAGAAGGGGAGAAGCCTGTAAATATTTTCCTTAATGCTTCGCCCTTCTCTCACCCCACATAACCTGAGGAAAGTCTCCCAGTCCCTCTCCTCTCACCGACCTACGAAGGATGGTGGGGAGAGAAGGAAGGGGTCGTGTGTTTCTCCGGTACGGAAACAACAGATGCTCTTCGCGGCTGCTCCTTCCTTAGGAATGGCTGCGTTAATATTGAGTCTCTTTCTAGTGACCAGGCCAGTGGGCAGAAAGGCTCACCCCTGCTCTCAGAGGGACCAGCTGGCAAAACCCGCCCCACCGAGGCTGAAGGAACTGACCGTTATTCCAACGGTAGAAATAGGCCCCGCCCCTTCTCCGCCTGTGATTGGCCGCCCTACAAGGGCGCGAGTGGAATCCACTGCGGCTCCTGGACGTCAGTTCCAAGAGCCAGGGAAGGAGGGGAGAGTGAAGATCAACATCAGGAATAAAGATCGACATTGGGATCTGCTGCCCTTATGCATCCCGCCGGCTAAGGCAGGTGCCTCACCTTGCCTCGTGGGTGAACCAGCCCTGGTAACCTATGACTGGCAGACCAGACTGAAAACAAGTGTTGGAACAGGGACTTCGGTCTTTGAATCTAGCTGCATTGTTGCTTCACATTTTTACATTAAAATATCAAAATATTACAGCTCTGAATTCACTTTTTTTTTAAAACAACTTAAACTTACAACCACAATCATTCAAAATATTTCAAATTACAAGCACAATCGTCAGCCAATTTACATTTATATCACATTCTTTTCTTTTCTTTTTTGGACTGTCCCACTAAAATTTTATTTTTTAAAAAAATATATTTTTATTGCTCAATTTCCACATAACAAATTATCAAACCATATACATTATTCAACACTCCATAATTTTCCCCACCTATCTAAATGTATTGGCTTGCCCAGATCTTGTGACCACTTTATCGTTGTTTCTTTTATTATTATCTTTCAGTTCCCATTCAAGGAGTAGGTGGTACATTTTCAATATAATTTTTTTTATTTGACTGCCTCCCGCAGTTTGGTTAGACTCCTGTTGGTAGCTTCGAGAACACTGTCCAACCGTCTCATCCTTTGTCGTCCCCTTCTCCTAGTGCCCTCAGTCTTTCCCAGCATCAGGGTCTTTTCCAGGGAGTCTTCTCATGATGGGGCCAAAGTATTGGAGCCTCAGCTTCAGGATCTGTCCTTCCAGTGAGCACTCAGGGCTAATTTCCATAAGAATGGATAGGTTTGATCTTCTTGCAGTCCATGGGATTCTCAAAAGTCTCCTCCAGCACCATAATTCAAAAGCATCAATTCTTTGGCCGTCAGCCTTCTTTATGGTCCAGCTCTCACTACCTTGAGATTCCCTGAGATTCCTTGAGATTCCCCAAATCTGCCAAGACCTTCTTGCATATGGGGGCTGCTGTTTTGACTATGTCAGCTTGGGAACTCTCTCCTAAAGATCAGAAATAGAATAGAATATTATTATTTATCCCATGACTGACTGGAGAGGTGGGAAAAAACCCAAACATCCTATTTCACCCATGCCAATATAATAAACACAATATTAATTGTGTAGCAATTGCAGAATTGCTCCGCATCCCCTCACAGCGATGAAAATAAGTTCAGTTGACTCATTTATGAGTTGAAAGGCCACAACTTTATCGGTGTGAATGGAAGCAGGCAAAGGACAGTTCCAGGAAATGTTCACACTTCTCGTTTCTCTCTCCAGATCTCTCTCTAGATCTTTGTAACTTGCAGTATACAAAGAAGGTGGTAGATGGGAAGATGGGAAACAATCCAGACCTCCACAAAGGGATGCTACAGACATGAGCAGGGAAGGATTGTGTGCCTTAAATGACTAGCCAGGCTCACAAATGAAACCATGTGTGAATTTTCTCTTAACTCCTTAATATATTGATAGTACTTACATACTAGTGACTTATAAACTGTAAAATGTGTCCATAATTAAAGTAACCTAATATTGTATATTTTAAGGTCATCTTATCTAAACTCCCAGACTGTTGGAAATCTGAAACAGTCTGTAAAAAGTCAGCTCAGATCTGGTTAATCCATGCTTGGTTTATCCTCATGTGGGCATCCCAAAGATTTAAATAGTGACAAATCTTTGATTTGTTAATCTGAAATGCTTAAGTCCAAATATGAAATTTGCAGAGGCATTTATTTTAATCAAGCCTGACTGGATGAATCAGGAACAAATGTCACACTAAGGAACTATGCTCACATATTTAATATACCATGACAAAAACCTAAACTACATACTGATGGGCTCATCTGCTTCTCACTGTTGCACAGATTTATTTACAAAACTGCCATTAAAGCAAATAGGAGCCATCTTTATACGGTCAAGAGAGTGAACGCTTTTTAATGTCTCCCTTAAAATACAGAGTTAATTCCAGTGGAGTAGTCATGTTAGTCTTTTGCAGCAAAAACTGCAATTATCAGTCTGCCTATTCAGTTTTTAATCTGCGATCATCTCAAGGAGTTCAGGCAAAAGTTTGTTACAAATAGCTTTCATATAAAGGACTGCTTTAAGTTAATGTAATTTAAAAAGGATAAACCTTTCTACAGATTGTATCTGTCAGCTGCTTTTTAAAAAGATTATGGGCATGATCTAGTCAAAGCTAAGTACTTTTAATTTACATGTATTTTAATGTGAAAGTTATATGCACATCCCCTTCTCAATGAACTCAATAAGACTTAAATGTCCTTAGTGTCTGCTGGATCATGTTGTAAACATCTTTTCAATAGAATGTACTTGTGGAATACATGGAAAGTATAACAGAAGTGCACATTATTATGCTTTATAAAAAGAAACTAATTCAGAATGGCAGTGTGACATTTTAACTTTTAATAATAATCTAGAACAGTATCTGCTAAGCAGGTTATCGGGTTATCAGCAGAAAGACAAGAAACTGGAATGTACAGATACATATCATCACACTCAATCAACTAAAATCCCACAGAGAAATCATGTGCTGCACATTCAGACCCAGGTGATATGTGATAACTTCATCAAACCAGAAAGAAGAGGAAGGAGTTAGTCTATTGTTACCAATTTAGTTAATCCTCTTGAGGACTGGAGAACAGTAACTTCAGCTGAATAAATGCGAACATTTTCCTCATAAATGGAAGCTTTAAGACATTTTATTCACAAAGGTGGCTTCTTTAGCCACCAGTAGCAAGAGAAAGGTCATATTTAATGTACAAAGCTGTGAGTCAGGTTCTCCCATGGATGAATATAGTATTCCACTGAAGATATAAACAGTTTAACTCAGAATGGCCCAATACAAGGTTAATGTCCTGAATTATCAGGGGTCCAATTATTATGACTAAAAAGGGAATAAAAAGCTGGAGTTGCGCTGCTAGTTTTCAAATTGGCTGAAGTGACAAATTTTAATAGTACAAAATGTGAATTCCTTTTCACATCTTTTGAGCTAAAATTGGCCCATGGCCACTGAAAATCAGTCCAAATAGGATAGTCTTACTAATTTATAGCTCAAACAGAATTGCTACATGCAAGGTTAAAAGTTCACCATTAAGACTACAGATATGATTAAATGGCATGCCTTGATCTAGATATTGTTGGACTTTTAAAAAGACAGAATGTGACTCAGGATGCACATTTGAATACACATAATATTGAAATATGGTGCATTGTGACCCGACAGAATCCATATATTTAGATGTGCATTGGAATGAGCAACTGATTTACATCTGTGGTTCCTTATTCTGCCAATGGTATATGCCCAAAGCCTTGCTTACACTCATGTATCTCATTAGCTGGGTATGTATTCAACAAGGTCTTAAACTGAAGGCCTAGAATACTGGTAAATCATTTTCATTGGGAGAGCGTATAAAAAATGCCTCACCAACATACAAAGGTATGTGAAACCCACAATTCTATTATGAAAAACCATTTTTATATGCAAAACAAAAGATAAATTGGCTACTTTTAAAATGAAAAATAATGAAATGGCAACAGTTGAACATTAAGATATCAGTATTTAACTGTAATGCTATATCTGTACATTATTATTCTGCCACTAGCTTACGGCACTGCATTACAAATATGTATTCAGATTTTCCCTCTTAATATACAAGCAAAGCCTTGAAGTCATTAACATATTAATACCATAAAAATAGCACAGCACAGTCTTCTCTTCAAAGGATTATTCGTAATAAGATTTCTCTGGCCAGATTCTCACTTTCTGCTGTCACGTACTCAGCATAGAACCCAAAGCAATATATAACAGAGTGGATCTGACAGTAATAGCATATTTCTGATCAGTTTATTCAATAGGCTCACTAGCTAGTAAAGTAATCTGAATTTTTAGTCATGGAGCCCAATCCTTTGCATAATTAGAAGGAATTCCAATGAGTTCAATGGAGCTTTCACCCCAAATCCACATGGGGCAGGGTTGCGGTCGGACTCCATGGCCTCCCGCTGGTGTCGGGACGTGGGGAACGTCCTGTGACATCAGGAGGTCCCAGCCACGTCATTGGCCCGGCTGGCCAATCCGGCTGGCTGGGGGGTGGGGCTGGAGCTATTTAAACTCTGGTGCAAGCCAAGGAGCTTCCTCTGGCTTGCCTTTCTGGATCTCCCGCCCTCCCTCCCTCTTTTCAGGTTTCAGCATTGGCCTTGCTATGGACCTCGGTTGATCACTGTTGAGGGGCCTGGTAGGATTTTTTCCATCTGGCAAACTGGCACTGGCCATTTGGCTTTTGCCTACCTCGTAGCAATCATCACAACTTTTGTTGCATCCCACCTATGAGAAGTGGGCGACCCTAGCAAAACACCTGAATCTACAAGAGGGTCGCGTCCAGACGCGTGAAGGAAGCGTGCAGGCTGCCTCTTGTTCAAGTTTCGGAGGGGTTTTTTGCGTTCGCGATAACGGAGAGTCAGCTGAGGGCTACGATTCTGCCACTACACCATGTTTGATCCGTCAAGTGAAGGTGTGCAGGTGGAAAGTGGTGCAAGACCCTCTGCTGCTTCCTGCGGACCACAGAATGGCAGTGCTGCAAAGGACGACAAAGAACAGGAAAGAGTGACCAAAGGGGTATTCAGGTCACCTCAACATGTAAAGTTTTTGAAAATTTGTGCACTAAGTTTGAGCTAGTTTAATGAAAAATGGGAAGATCCACGGACAAACAGGCATATTGGGAGCCTCACAGCTATCTCTAGCTTCTATGAAAACAGATGGACAAACCCTTTCTTCCCATATTCTCTGGGATCTATAATCAACACATGGTATCATTTAATTAGACAATTTG